CAAACCAAATCAAACAATCAGTTAATATCATAAATCACACATCATTTTGAGAATTAGGTTAAGCCATCACTACCGGAAGAAGCTGCCTTGCCGCCGTTGCAGTTGCCGCTTGGTCGCTTGGAGTCACTACCGCTGCTGACCTGCTCGCCTCTCGTCGCTCGTCAATCGTCACTCCAAGGTCTCGCCGCTCGAATCCACCGCTTCCTTGCTGTTGCTCGCGGTCGCCGCACACCGGTTGGTCTGCAGTGGTCCAGAGGATTGCCGGCTGCCCAGAAAATGAGAGTTGAGGTTAGGGTCAGCAAAGGGAAAAACTGAAAGAATCCTGTCTGTTTTATGTACAAAAAAAAACTTGAGAAAAAAGAATGGAAAAGAATGAGAGTTGATCTAGAAGTCCAATGGTTGGAAGGGTTGCAGGGTAAGGTCACGAAGAACTACAAAGAAGGAATAATGTAGTTCTATTCAGATGATAGGCTGGTCGTGTTAAAAACCAAGCCCAACAAAGGGGCATGAGGCGTCGAATTGAGGAGTTTGAAGCGTGTTTAGATCCTTGAGGATAAGGATGTGCTAAAAGGGAGCGGGAATGATAAAGATGGAGGTTTCTCACCCTCGAACGCACATGATCGAGCACGGCGAGCATACGAGAGATTCGCTCGACGGGCAACCCAGACGAACGGGATGGCCGCGTAAATGGGCTCGAGCAAGCCGGGTACAATAAGTGCTCTGGGCAAGCGCGCTGCCAATGGGTGCACCGAGTGCGTGCGCAGTAGATGGGCGCGGAGTGACATACTTGAGTGGACGCAAGCAACGTGCGCGAGATCACGCGCTGGCAACAGAGGATGCGCGCAGCAAGCGCGACAGGGTCGTATGACCTGGGACAGCGCACGCGCAACTTGCCATCAAGAAATCGAGGCTTCTGGAAGGATTTTTTATCTGATTTTTTTCTAGATTATTCTTGGATATTTCCGCATTTTTTAATTGCTTTCCCAGGTTATTTAGGCTTCGAATAAGTTGGGTAATTTTAGGATCCTTAGTTGATTTATTTTTCATAAGTTAATAGTTTATTTCCCATAAATTTAGGCTAAGTTTATATCTTGAAATAGCTGATGTTATGCACATTTTTTTTATCATCAATTAAGCAATGAATTAATGAAAAATCAATCATTGGTAAAAATCTCTTGTGTTAGAATTCTTGAGTTTTATCACAAAATCTTGTGTCAAAAAGGGTGTTTCACCTCATATATAGTTCATCATGAGTTCGAGTTTAGCAAGGATTCACGTTGTATCACATATCGCCGAGAAGGAGGTGTGCAAGCATATTTTGAAGCAATCTATCGACGACAAGGAGACAGTCTTCGTATCCTATGAGGCAAAACCGAGCACCGAGAGACGCGATCTTCATCATATGCTCGCGGCACTGTTTTGCAGCTGGATCCAGTTTGTTGTTCAAAAAGATCGAGACGAGGCGGTTCAACTCGAAATCTCGGTGAGCCGATATTTCAAACAATCCATTAGGCTTAAGTCGATGGGTTTAAGAATTTGGGAAGGCAATGCCACCACAAGAAAGATGTGATTTTACTCCCCATTGTTCACGATTTTTGGTTAACCTCAGGTATTTTTTATATTTTTCCATCTTGGTACAAATTGAAATAAAATTAAGATTAAATGTATCATATCATCACGTGTAGAACTCAGTGGGAGTATTGAAAACGGTGATTACCTTCCATGATAGTGCAAGTTTTATTAGCTCGTTAGACCATGTTTGTTTATAGAAATTTTTGGTTTTGTTTGAATTTTTTGGTTTGGTTTGGGTAATTTTGAAAAATATGGTATGGTTAGTTGTTAGTGGGTATATAAAAATAATGTTTAAAATAAAATAATTAAAATTGATAACAATGATATATTTGGGCCTTTATTAGATTGATGTATTTTAGACTTGTTGTATTAAACATATATTGGGCGCTGTATCCTTAGCCCATTAGGTTTATTGTTAGGTTTATTGTACCTCTCATATATAAGAGAGAATTAGGGTTTCACATCTCACTTTTGTCATTTCTATTTTTCTCTCGGTTTATCAGATTCTCTCATCCTTTTTTCTCTCTCTTGTTCATGCAATACACATTATGGATCATATTATGGTATCAATCGCTGTGTTTCAATCGATCTTTTACTAATTCCGCTGCATCATATCTCTTCGATTTTCATTTTTTTTGGAATCTCGATCGCTGCTTGGATTTGTAGATCTGGTTTTTCGAAACCCTAGATCTGCGTCTTCAAATCATACGACTTGAGTTTTCCGATCTAGTCGACGATCTGCGACCACATTTGATTGTCGATCTCCATGGCTACACGTTCGATTCAGCCGACAGACGATCCATCGTCGCCTTTTTTCCTTCATCCAAGTGATAATTCGGGTGCGCTGATTGTTGCAGAGACTTTCAATGGTGACAACTATGTTTCCTGGTCAAGAGCAGTTCTCATGGCTCTTAGTGTAAAGAATAAAGCTGGTTTTATTGACGGTACTGTTTCTGTCCCATCTCCTACTCAATCTCCTGTTGACTCTGTTGCTTGGGTTAGAGCGAATAATCTGGTTCTGTCTTGGTTGCTTAACTTTGTGTCCAAAGATATTCGCCAATCTCTGTTATTTTTTAATGTTGCCAAGGATGTTTGGGATGAAATCAAGTCTCACTATGCTTTGAGTAGTGGTCCGAGGGTTTTTCAACTTGAAAAATCTCTTAGTTCTATGGACCAGGGTTCCTTATCTGTGACTCAATACTACAACTCTTTCAAATCATTGTGGGATGAATATGTTACTTACCGTCCTGTTATTCGATGTACTTGTGGTGCTTGCAATTCATGCACCTGCAACATATTTGATGTCATGTCTACTGCTCAACAGTCTGATTGTGTTATGAAATTCTCATTGGGCTCAATGACTCCTACTCATCCATGCGTAGTCATTTTCTTTTGACATCACCTCTTCCAACTTTGTCCAAAGTTTATTCTCTGTTACTTCAAGAGGAAAGTCAAAGGAACTTACATATTCTAAACAAAACTGATGATCATCTTGCCATGTTACTCAAAACCTCTCAGTCATACAACAAATCTCAACCCTCTCACACAAATAAAACCCAAACATTTCAAAAAGACAAGAAAAAGCTCAAATGTCAACACTGTGGTTTTACCAATCATTCTTCTGAAAGGTGCTATCAAGTGATAGGGTATCCTCAAAATTGGGTTGGTCCTAAGGGTCCAAGAATTCATCCATCTCATTCAGCCGTCATCTCTGTTTCCTCTACCTTTTCCACCCAAACAACACCCACTGAAAACATTAATCCCAACATGACTGATGCTCTATTTCATGAGTTCCTAGACTTTAAGAGGTCGCAAACTCTTAAACAAGCTACAGTTCAACAACCCAGCTCTTCTTCTCCTTTAGTTGCCACTGCTTTCACTCAATCTACTGCAGGTACTGCAGGTAAATTTCATATTTCCTGCTCTGCTCTTTCAAATTTTACCAAACATACCTGAATTCTTGATACTGGTGCCACTGACCATATGATTTGTGACTTATCTCTGTATTCTTCTCCACCTACCTCTATTTCTATTAAAATTAACTTACCCAATGGACAAAATACATCTGCATGCCATGTGGGACAGATAAATCTGGGACCTAATCTTGTGCTGCATAATGTATTATTTGTTCCTTCTTTTACTTCCAATCTTATTTCTGTTTCTCAATTAACTACTACAAATAATTGTGTTGTCAATTTTATGTCTTCTTATTGCATATTACAGGATCTCAAAGCCAACAAAATGATTATATCATTTGTCTCTAGATGTTTCCAATAATTGTCATGTTTCTGATACTCATGTTGACCATACTTCTGATGCTTGGTTGCAAATATTTATGAAAAACTTGTATCACATGACCAACATGTAACATCTGACAAACTTGTATCACCTGACAATCATGTATCTACTACTTTTGAAACTTCTCTTGCACATGTATCTTCTGTGGATTCTGAACTTTGGCATGTCAGACTTGGAGATCTCTCATATCATAAACTTTCTCAATTACCCTTGTCTGTTAATTGCAAACTCATATGCATAATCCTTGTGATATGTCATTTCAGCAGACAAAGAAAGTTACTATTTCCTGTGAGCACATCTACTGCATTATCTGCATTTGATCTTATTCATTGTGATTTATGGGGTCCCTTCTCTGTATCTTCTATTTCTCGGCATAAGTATTTTCTTACTATTGTAGATGATTACAGTAGGACTACTTGGATCTATCCATTGGTTTTAAAATCAGACACACATTATTTCCTTCAACATTTTTATAGTTTGATTTTAAACCAATTCAACAAGAAAATCAAGACCATTAGGACAAATAATGGTACTGAATTTTTCTTGCATGATTTTTATCATTCTCATGGCATTATTCATCAAACTTCATGTGTTGAAACTCCACAACAAAATGGTAGAGTTGAAAGGAAACATCAACACTTGTTGCAAGTAGCTAGGGCCATCATGTTTCATGCACACCTGCCTTTAAAGTTTTGGATTGATTGCATAATTGCTGCTGCTCATATCATAAATAAAATTCCATCCACTGTTCTTCATGGAAAATCTCCTTTTGATCTTCTTTTTCAAAAGAAACCTACCTATGATCATTTTAAAGTCATAGGATCACTATGTTATGCATCTACTTTACAACAAGGCATAACAAAATTTGCATCTAGAGCATCCAAATGCATCATGCTTGGTTATCCACTTGGTTGTAAAGGTTACAGGCTTTACAATTTGGATACCAAGAAAATTATAATCTCCAGAAATGTCATCTTTTATGAACATGTACTTCCTTTTCAAGCCATTCCTTGTAACAATACACAACAATCCCTGATGTTTCCCACACCCACAGATTTCTCTCATGATAACAACACCCAGAACAATACTCTACACATACCCCCACAAGTCCCTACACCAAACAGTACCCCACACATACCCATTACAGTACATGTTTCAGTACCTTCTCAAATACAACAAACTGTCACACAATCTATACTTGACACTTCAACATCCAGAAAATCAACAAGAAAGAGAACAATACCTTCCTATCTCAATGTATACAAACACTCTTTACCCTCATCCACTAATTTTACTTCCACTGAAGTATATGAAGACATTTCTGGAACATCTCATGCAGCATCAAATATCCAATAGAAAATCATTTATCTACTGCACAATTGTCATCTTCTCATGCCTGTTTCACTGCATCTATATCTTTTCAGACTGAACCTAAAACCTATAAACAAGCTGTTAAAGACCCACTTTGGCAAGAAGCCATGAACAAAGAATTACAAGCTCTTGAGAAAACACCTGGGTCATAACAGATTTACCTCAAGGTAAACACTCAATAGGTTGTAAATGGGTTTTCAAAATCAAATATAAGTCAGATGGATCTACAGAAAGATACAAAGCAAGATTAGTAGCTAAGGGTTACACACATGAAGAAGGTATAGACTATTTTGATACCTTTTCTCCTGTTGCCAAAATAACCACAGTTAGACTATTACTTGCTATTGCATCTATAAAACACTGGCATGTGCACCAATTAGATGTCAATAATGCATTCTTGCATGGTGACCTCAATGAGGAAGTTTACATGACTCCACCCCCTGGTTATTTGTCTGATTCTTTGCATAATAATAAAGTGTTATATGGTCTTAAACAGACATCTAGACAATGGTTTTAGAAATTGACTACTTGTCTGTTACATTATGGCTTCAGTCAATCTGTTTCTGATTGTTCTTTATTCACATTGCAAGCTGACAATCATTTTCTGGCCTTGTTAATATATATGGATGACATTATTCTCACTGGTGATGATCTTGGTCAAATCATTGCTATTAAGAAACATTTGGATAATCTTTTCACAATCAAAGACCTTGGTCAACTTAAATACATTTTAGGTATTGAGGTTGCCCATTCTGCACAAGGCATAAACCTTTGTCAAAGAAAATATGCTATAGACATTCTCTCTGATTCTGGTATGTTAGCTGGTAAACTTGCCACCACACCTATGGACAATAATCTCAAGCTTACATCTTTAAATGAAAATGGTGATAAATCCATAGATCAAACATCCTACAGCAGATTACTGTATCTAACAATTACCGGACCATAATTTCTTATAGTGTGCAGACATTAAGTCAACATATGAGCAATCCAACTGAAATTCACTTGGCTGCAGCTGACAATATATGTATTTTACCTTTTCTGTCCTTATTAATATTTTGTATAGGAATAGTTGTCATTACCTTTAACAACTCTAGTTTTCTTGTATTAGCCATATATAAAGGGCTCAAGACACCTATTGTAAACCTAGTTCATTTTATTCTATTCATTCAAGCGCAGTTTTATTTTTCTCTCTCTCGTTCTTCGATCTTTTCCATATGTTTCATCAGATTCATTAGAATCTTGTTAGGAGCATATAGAGTTCTCAGGTACATCAAACAATCTGTAAGCCAATGTATTCTCTTTCCCAGAAATTCTTCTCTTTCTTTAAAATGCTATTGTGATAGTGACTGTGTTGATTCAAGAAAAAGCATTACTGGTTTTATGTTTTTCTTGGGCAAATCACTAATTTCCTGTAAATCCAAAAGGCAAACAACTGTCAGTCGATCCTCTGCAGAAAGTGAATATAGAGCCTTAGCTTCAGCTTCTTGTGAAGCTCAATGGCTTCTATATTTGCTTTTTGACTTAAAAATCTCACACAATTTTTCAGAGCATGTTTGGATACAAAATTTTTCAAAAAAATCCAAACATTTTTAACTCAACCACTTTTTTTAACTCAACTTTAACTCAACCCCACTATCATTAATATTATCAATATAATTAAATAATATCAATCAATCATTCTTACACACCACTTTACCTTAATTCACTATTCATCCACTCACATAATTTTAACTAACCATCACTTCAAATTTTCTCTCACCTACTTTACATCAAATCAACTTTAATCATTTTATTTTAAATATTATTTAATATACCCACTAACAACTAACCATACCAACTTTTTCAAAATTAACTAAACCAAACAAAAAAATCCAAACAAAACCAAAATTTTTCATATCCAATCATCCTCTCAGTGTCTATTTTTTCAGACAGCAGGTCTACAATTGCAATTGCACATAATCCCATTTTTTATGAGAGGGCCAAACATATAGAGATAAATTGCCATCTCATAAGGGAAAAAATTTCAAAGGACATCATTCAACTCAGCCACATCTCATCAAAGGAACAACTAGCAGACATTTTAACTAAAGCCCTGGGCCCTCAACCTTTTCAGTACCTTGTATCCAAGATGAACATGACCAACATACATGTTCATCTTGCGGGGGGTAACAATTAAATATTTGGGCCTTTATTAGATTGATGTATTTTGGACTTGTTGTATTAAACATATATTTATATATTTGGGTCTTTATTAGATTAATGTATTTTGGACTTGTTGTATTAAACATATATTGGGCAATGTATCCTTAGCCCATTAGGTTTATTGATAGGTTTATTGTATCTCTCATATATAAGAGAGAATTAGGGTTTCACATCTCACTTTTGTCATTTTTATTTTTTCTCTCGGTTTATCAGATTCTCTCATCCCTTTTCTCTCTCTTGTTCATACAATACACATTATGGATCATATTAATTGATTTGATGTAAAAGTAGGAGATAGATGATTTGAAGTGATGGTTAGTTAAAACAATGTAAGTAGATGAATAGTGAATTAAGGATGATGTGGTGTGTATGATTGATTGATTGATTGATATTATTTAATTATATTGATAATATTGATGATAGTGAGTGTTGAGTTAAAGTTGAGTTAAAAAAAATGGTTGAGTTAAAATGTTCGAAATTTTTAAAAATTTCTTATAAACAAACATGCTCTAATATCTGTTTCCCCGCAAAAGTTCGGCAAACTTCTCTTTATTTCACTTTTGATAATCTGCATTATCTAGACTGTCTCTCTACGCCACTTTAAGCTATGCTGATGCTATAAAGAGCCGCACAAGTAACTTTGATTAGTTTAAAAAGAATTTAAAAGTTAATTAGATAGATCATATCACATTCACATGGCCTAGCTCTCGTTTAACTTTCCACATTGTTTTATGTCCTAGTGATATAAGTAGGGTCGTCAAATATGAAGAAAGATGGGCTAAAGAAATGGGAAAATAAAAGGGACAAGTTAAAGCTGTGTGCAAATTGCTTTTAATAAGTTACATGCAACTTCAGGAAAAGAATCTGAAGGTTTGTAGAATCCACCTAATATATCATAACCCGTGACTAGGATAAATACTGCTTTATAAGAGGGCTATCACTTGTCTTGTCTGGCAGATCTATTTGGTTTGAATATGTTAGCTTTTTTGTTATGGACTGTAATATGAGTAGAAATTCTGTAGAATCATTGAATGATCCCTTATGAGGTTATCATGAATTGATGTATTGATATATGTTGTAAGCATATAAGGTGCCAGGATCTAATTTCAGAGGTGTTTGCATTTGATTATTTTTTTTTTATCATAATTGTGGATATCTTTTCTTTTTAATTTTTATTANAAAAAAAAAAAAGAAAGAAAGTTATATCTGGTCCCTCCACATTCTTTTCCCTTCTGATCAATGAACTAAAAGTCATGAGCAGAAAAGCCAAATGCCATCATTTTGCAAACACACCATGTAATTTTTGCAGCTGAAACCTAAAAGTAAATTGATTTTCTCTCTTTATTATTATTTTTGGTAAACACATGGCCGAAAAGAAGGGAGAAAAAGATACATTTTCTTCTTTTGAATTATGCATGAATATGCATGTGGCTAACCACTTTGTCTCTGTCTTTAATGTATAAAAAAAACATGGTAAATTGAAGTATTAATTAGTTTTGTTAAGGAATAAATGGAAAATTGGCAACTGGCATTAGGCTTCTTCTCTTGATACTTTCCAGTATTGAAAGGCAAAAAATATATTCTAATTTAATTCTTCATCACAAAGGAAGCACTTTTCTGAGTCATTGTGACATATTCCTTCCTCTTTTCTTTTATCCTTCTATCCTTAACCCTTCTTTATCTCTCTGCTTACCTTTTTCTATATATATAGCCAACTTTTTCTTTTGTGCATTTTTAATAAACTGCAGCTCATACCATCATAAAAGCCCATTTGGAGTTCAAATTCGAAAAAAAAGACCCTCTCAATAATTAATTAAAATGGATACATCAGCTTCCAAGTTTCAGCTCTGCTCATTTCTGCTCTCTGTTCTCATTGTCTGCTCATCGGGTGAGTTTATATTATGACACAAGTTTATATATATGCTTGTGTTTTAGTTTGCTTAGTTGTTTCTGTTTAGAAACAGGATTTTCTTAGCATGGGTTGATGGTGTTTTACGTAGGAGATTTTCTGCAAGTAAATAATATGTTTATTGATTTTTTTCTTTAAAAAAAAAATAAAATCCACAATTATATTAATTTAGTTGTATAGGTTTGATGGTTGTTTTTCTCAAATTATATTGTGTGATGAGTATTAATTGTTTCAGAACATATATATGTATACATCATGGTTAAGCTTTTAGTTGAAAGAAAAAAGAAGTCAAATTCGAAATTGGTGGCCTGGGTAAAACAAGTCAAATCCATGGTGAATACCAAAGAGCAAAACATTCATGAAATTAGTTTGGTTAATTAGGTGAAATTAGTTAGAAGTACTGTTGACTTTGTTTGAAGCTTTATGCAGAGAGAGTGAGTAGCATAAAATATGGTATATATGCTGGGTTTGTGAATGAGCTCAGTAATCATGTGTTTGTTTTATTATATATATTATTCTTGTTAATGAGTAGGTAGGTTAGGACAAGAATTAATGTTGGAAGCATAGGGATAGATAGTAGGATTGAGTTTGGAATATGGCCAAGTTGAAATTAGATAGTGAGATGAAGAAAACAAAGTAGGCGATAGATATTATGTATCCTGAAATTATTTGAGGTTCAATTCTCTGACACATCCTAAACAACCAAGCGTAACTTGATAGTAAGACGCTTCAATTATGACCAATAAGTCATGGATTCAAGTCACTGGGAAGGGGGAGAAAGTAGGAACACTTCTAATCATCCTTAAAAAAAAAAAAAATCTCGACACATCCAATTACCATAATTTAGTCCGAAAACAATGTTCTCATGGAAGCAAGCTACAAAATTTCAGGTTCATTACATTCCATCCGACACACGGTCTTCATGGAACCCCCGATCACCACCAACCCAANCAATAACCCTGTCACCAACCCATCCACCGGCGGCCCCACCACCACTGTCCCCTCCGCCTTCCCTCCCCCAGCTCCAATACCCTCCACTACCGTCCCTCCACCCTCCTCCCCCCTTACCAACCCAGTCACCACGCCAAGCACAGCCATCCCACAACCAGCGACAGGGACAGGGACAGGGACAGGCGGCGGAGGAGGGCAGAGCTGGTGTGTAGCCAAGGCCGGAGCTCCAGAGACAACCATCCAAGCTGCGCTCGACTACGCCTGTGGGACGGGATCTGCTGACTGCTCGGCCATCCAACAGGGTGGGAGCTGCTACACCCCCAACACCCTGCACAATCACGCCTCATTCGCTTTCAACTCCTACTACCAGAAGAATCCCGCCCCCACCAGCTGCGACTTTGGCGGTGCTGCCACAACTACCAACCTCAATCCAAGTCAGAACAACTATCTATCTAACTCTACATGTTGTGTGTGTGAAAAAATAAAAATAAAAAAAATTAATAATCTGATATTGATTTAATTTTATAATGCAGGCTCCGGCTCGTGCATCTTTCCAAACGGGCCAACCTCATCATCGGCATCACCAACAGCGATGAATCCAGGGACTACGACTCCGATACCCACACCAACAACCGATTCTTCATCAGGAGCAACACCAACCAGGTTAGTTTATTATATAAACAATTCAAATGCAGGAACTGTCAAAAAATCATCTAAGTTACATGCATATTGCAGCTCTGTCATTCCTCCGGCGCTCTTCAACGCTAGCAGCCCAGCTCTGGGAGGCGGCATCTCAGGCTACGGAGAGAGCCCAATGGCGGCCAACATATCATGGGCTTTTAGGCCCGCCAAATCTCAGCCACTCCTTGGATGTGTTGTCACCTTGACAACCATCATCATAACGGCAGCTGTTTTGGATGTTTAGAGGCACTCAAGGGAGATGAATGGATCAAGTTTTGGGGTGCAGCTAATTAGATTAATTAATTGTTAGAAGATTAATTACATCATATATATGTATGTGTATCTATGTATCTATCTATCTATCTATTGGCTCAGACTCAACTCATTTATTTTGAGCTTCTTACTATGTTAATTAGTATATATGCGCAGTTTCCTGTTCTTATCGCATCATGAGTTATAAGTATTTTAATTAGCTATTTATGTATAATAATAGTGTTGTGATCTCTCCAGACAAGGACTATATTTATCATCTTTCAAATTGTCTCCACTTGTGCACTGTCACTACAAAATAAATGTATATGTCTGCCCATATCTATATGCAGAGACGACATAAAGGCTGTTGAATTAATGAAGAATCAATAGCTATTTATATAAGCACAAGGCATAATGAAAATGGTCTGATTAATGTTCAAGTTTCCCTTGACTATGCCAATTAATTATAAACATACGACACCGGTATAAGGAGACATGCATGATCGATCCTACGAAATGTTGAATTCCAAGTAAAAATTGTTTTCGTTTATCTCAATTCCTTGTGTAATCATATGACTGTGATTTATCCATAATGTTCTTGAAGGTTAATGTTGTATATAGATGGACTCGGGGCGGATCTATGGGTATGGGGCAATTGTATAATATATAATTGTATATATTTTTATCATTAGTTTAGTGTGTATTATGACTTTTTCTCTAAATAAGAGTTAAATAATCATTATCCTATTTATATCCTATTTATAGTTTATCATAAACAATTTAGAACCGATTCGAACGGTTCATAACCGGTTTTGAGCCCCAGCGGTTCAACACCTCAAACCATACCAATGTTTTGATTGGTTCCCAGTTGAACCAGTCGAACTGGCCAGTTCGATCGAGTTTTCCAAACCATGTTTTACTTAACACATTGCATTCATGCTCGCCGAACTTACACACTATCAGTTTTCTCACGAATAATATACTAACTTGAGCATCGTCAATTTTCTACCGAAATCCCTTCCCGATGTTTTGCAAGTTATCAGAGTTCCGAGCTAGTGGCCTTTGAAAGATCGTGTTTTCAACTCTGAGGTAATTTGTATCATGTCTAATGTTATTTTTCATAGTCTAATATATAAGGTAATACCATTCATTCATTCATATAATAACAACATACATAAAAGGGAGAAAAAAAAAAGGACAATTAAGTTCCACAATTTTGGGAATTGCGTAAGTATTTGAAATGAAGAGGTTCGAGAGAAAGAGGCAAAGCAAAATCACACTTCTCTTAAACAATAAAGACCAAAATATTTCAAAGTCTTGGTAAAACCGCACCGTAGTATACGCCACTTTGACACGCCCAAGTGTACAACCAATGAACCAACTACAAGTCTACAAACTGACCGATAAGATTCAGGACGCCAATCAGGGGCAAAATTGTCTTTGCAAGGCGTCAACGAAAGTGCTCCTACACACATTCCAAAGTCTGTAGATAGTCTTCGTCACGCCCACGCACAATTTCCATATATGAGGGCAAGCAAGAGTCAAAAGATAAAAAGAAGAAATTATTGGCACAATCAATTACAACTACCACTTTATTTGCAGCCCTCGGCTATCGTGCGCCTGTCCCTGCGGCTTCTGGAACGTTTTCTCACTAGGTTGCTTCTTTAGTTGGTTTCGACAGTTGCCGACGATCATGGATGGAGACGGAGCGCAGTCGCTGCCGATGCCGCCGCCGGCGGCGGAGGAGCAGTACGTCAAGGCCAAGATTTCGGTGTGGTGGGACATCGAGAACTGTCACGTGCCCAAGAGTTGCGATCCGCACACCATCGCGCAGAACATAAGTTCGGCGCTCGTGAAGATGAATTACTGTGGGCCCGTCTCTGTCTCAGCCTACGGCGACACCACCAGGATCTCGTCCTCCGTCCAGCACGCGCTGAACAGCACCGGCGTCGCGCTTAATCATGTCCCCGCCGGTAATTTCCGAACCTATTTTGATGAAATTTGGGGGATCGTGTGGATATGGGTTTTTCTAAAGGGAAAAAAAATGTTTTTTTATTAATAATTGAACTAGTTAATCATCGAGTTTACGGCGTAGGGGGCTTGTGGCTATTGTGAATCGATATGGTTCGTGGGTAGATACTAGAATTGAAGTTAAGTGGAAACTGAGAGTTAACGTCGGCAGCCATGTTTTAGTGTTTTTTCCTCCAAAATCAAGAAATCGTGTCCTAGCGCCATTTTCATGTAGTTATGTGATTTTGATTAACTCTTAATAAGCGTATGTTGATGAATGTGAATGCTTCGTGACTTTTTCTAAATGATATCCTTTTCTTGGTGTTAGAATGTTCTGTGATTCTGATATTCTACGAGTATGCATAGGTTAGATCGGAATCTTCTGCAAGCTCAATTGTTATAATAAAGTATTTTACTTTACTTTTCTTTCTTTCTTTCTTTTTTTTCTTTTCTTGTAATTTTGAATTTTCTTTGACACATATGGTTTGTATAGTTGTGATGATTTTCAGTACTTGTAATTGTACTGGCTTTCATATAATCATCCTTCCTCCTTCTGCAAACAATTGAATGATACATCAACTTTTTCCATGTTGAGAAAAACTCTATGCCTTAGCATCACAATTCTTAATGCTAATTGTCAATATTCACGTAATTCCATTAGTTTTAATCATTGGATTAAATCCCTTCAGGTGTGAAGGATGCAAGTGACAAGAAGATTCTGGTTGACATGTTATTTTGGGCTGTTGACAATCCTGCGCCCGCCAATTATCTACTGATATCTGGTGATAGAGACTTCTCAAATGCTCTCCACCAACTTAGAATGCGTCGTTATAACATTCTTTTGGCCCAACCTCAAAAGGCATCTGCAGCATTAGTTGCTGCTGCTAAGAGTGTATGGCTTTGGACGAGTCTATCTGCTGGAGGGCCACCACTTACAAATGCTGAATCTGCCCAATTTGTAACTAACAGCAATGGACAGTTACCTGTCAGTGACTCATTACACACTGAAGCCATCAGTGGAAACCAACCTCTGAATTCATTTCATGGCAGTCTAAATTTGGGAAATCAGAAACTTTCGAATGCGGGAAGAGAAAGTGATCCAAAATACAAAGGAAAACAAACTTGGCGAAACAGCACACAACCCGGTATGCAAAGAAACCCAAGTAACACAATGAAGCCTGAAGAAAATTATAACAATTCCAAATTCCAAACGGCATATGGGCACCCTAAGCCGTTCAATCTTCCTCAGGACTCGTCTGGTGCTTATAGAGCTCCTAATACTGGATCAGGGCCCTCTTATTCTACTGGTCCTGATTCTTGGGTAAACGGTAATTACCATCATGGAACTTATCAAAATCAATATCATCAACAATTCAGGGCAAATGTGCCCCCTGTTGAAAACTGTTCACCTGATGTTAGCAATTTACATATTTCCGAGCCGCCAAACAATTCACAACAAACAAATGGAGGAGAGAAAAGGCCAGCTTTAGTTGAGCCTGCAAACCGCCCAAGTTTAAAGAGTCCGCAAAAAGGGTATATTACACAGAAAAGATCTTCTTACCAAGAACCACAGATCACTAGACGTTCTCATGCTAATCAAGAGGTTCGACCTCCACCTCTCTCTTCAGCATCAGGAACTGCTGTTATCTCTGTTAATGGTGTTTGGGGAACATCCGGACACCCTAAACCTTCTGATTATGTGCAAGGTCTTATTGGGATTATTATACTTGCTTTAAACACCCTTAAGAATGAGAAGATTATGCCTACCGAGGAAAATATCACAGACTGCATCAGATATGGAAATATCAAACATCGCAATACTGATGTCAAGAAAGCTTTGGCATCTGCCCTTGAGCAGCAGTTGGTAATACAGCACCAACTAGGTAACCTGCAGTTGTATGTGGGAAAAAATGAAAAAGTTTGGCAATGCGTGAACCCTATGGCTGGAGATGCAGTCAAGTACCCAAAGGCTACGTGGGATGAAATCCAAAATTTCCTTTCGTCCCATGCTGGAAGATCGGCAATACAGGATACGCAATGCAGGTTATATCATATTTACTTTGCTTTTATAATTTGCTGAGCTGTTTGTTTGATTTGCTTCATAGGAGGATCAATAGCTTTTACCTCAATCTTCTAACATGCTGTTTTAGGTACGAGGCTGCAACAGTTATGAAAAAGATGTGCTTGAAAGAGCTTTCGTTGGGTGAGATACTCCAACTCTTGCAGATGGTAATTAACATGAAAAAGTGGATTGCTTATAATCATCAGTCAGGATGGAAACCAATTAAGGTCACGCTTGCAGAGGTCGGCCCTACTTCAGGGCCGGCAGCTGCTTCATAAACTCTTTAACTTCTGTGCTGGGGGAGAGGGTTTTCAGGTGCCGACAGAACTTGGCAGGTTAGAATTCTGTTCAAGTATAGAATGGTTAAAACGAATCCCTCTCCCCTTGGGTTTACTGGCTGCAGACTGTGCAGCCAGGAATGGTACAATATTATGTATTTAGATCTAGTTCAAGTTCTACCTTTAAAAGACTTTGAAGCACCTTTACAAAGAGATCCTTTTGGTTATACAAACAGTTGAGAGCGATGGAGCTGTTAGTTGCTCCTTATGATCATTTACAGGGCTTCTTTTAAGACCTATAAAAGAGACGGGTGTTACGAGCACCCAATATGCCAGGTTTATCATGGATTACAAGAGGTGATTGCCTGGGTTTTCGTTGGATTCAGACTATTCTTCAAACATTTTGGAGAGGAAAAAGGCTGCTTTTCTCAAATTGACCAAGGAATTTCTAATGGGTCGACATTGATAATTAAATTTTCATAGTACTATGTTATTTGGCCATATAATATTTGCTGGGCACTAATCTTCAAGGCCACCTAGCCTTTGGAAAGCCAAGGGAGGGAATAACAGATTTCAGCAGTGTAAGGCTTAGAGCTCGACGATTTGTGGGGACTGTTAGGTGGATCTTCATGTTTGCTGCTCTAGGTTTGTGAATATGTTAATGTTTGGTGGGTTTCTTATTTTCTGACTGAGATGCACACAAGAAATGGAGGTTATTTTCCAATCATGATACATAACTCTTGACTCGAGAGCTTAGTAATGCAATAGCTTGTGGAGAATTTTGATGTAAGTAAGCCTTAAGGGAAGGAAATTTTATGAGGTTCTGATTTGCTTTGCGGACATTTTTGACAATATAAGGAAACATGAAACCACTACTCAGATGAAGTTCCCGTCATACATTGATTGAAGTCCTTGTGGAGTTTTTGACTTGTTCATCATGAGTTAAGAGCTTAATTTAATCCCACTGGCATCTATATAATTTTGTTTTCCCATTCCCAAAAGTACCTCAATGAAGACCTTGGGGCGAGTGTGCATTCTATGTTGACATCATATTACGGGACTTGTTGAATGTATCACGACTTACGAATTCTGGTTCTCTTTGTGGTTGAGATATATCCTCAGTTGTGGCTGAGAAAGTGACAGCCCGGACAAGGACAATGTCGCAGCTTGAGATGGAGTATGTATTCAAATATAATATGAAGAAAATTTGCTCGTGCTTGGCGCTGGAGCTTGGAGGTGTCGATAAGTGCTGTAAGGACTTTGTAGATAAGTGCTTTTGACTATTGTCCTGATGGGATTCATATTTTGTTTCAACGATGTTGATATTTCCAAATGCAGCGATGTGATGGTGATGGCTGTTCTATGATGTTTACGTTCCGATTTTAATTAGGTCCTCTGAAAAATTTTAATTATTATCGTTTGTTAAGTGGGCTTTTGGGGTGTTATAAAAATTTCAATGCTGCATTTTTCCTTTTCATATTGCATCTCTGTTTCCTTTAGCTCAATTATATTGATGATGATCCAACTTAATTCTGAACTAAAAAGGCACTTTCTGCTCCTAAATTAAACAAGAATAAAAATATTCAAGAAACATGAAGATAAACAAGCACACCATCAAATGATTCATCAAAATCTCTTGACAACACAATCCTGTAAACAAGCATAAACAAGAACACAGAGAAAAAGAAAAAGACACCAAAATTGCTAGAGTTATATATCACCAAGATAACAACACAAGCTCATACCAACCCTAAAAAAGTTTGAACCCCAATTCCACCTAAAAAAGTTTGAACCCCAATTCCACTTTGATATCCTA